GTGAAAATTGTGTTTTTATATCGGAGCAAATTTTTACGATCAAAATTGCTAATATCTTGGTCAATTTTGCCAATTTTCTCGGAGAGAGAACGCATTGTAGTCTTCGAAATGAATTGGATATATGCAGAAGTGTTGTTTAAGGCCACATATGTCGCTATATCAATATTGGAGCCAACACGGACAGACAGTGATGGGTTCAAGCTTGGTGGTCTCCAATTCCCTACACCTACCCTACATATGTCAAGAAAAAAAAATGGCTATGAAAGAATTCATTTTTCATCAAATCGGTGATAAGTGGTTTTACGGCACACATTATTATTCAATTAATAGGCTTTATTTAGACCAGCATTGCTCCAACGTCAGTGAATGTGGATAAAGCAGTTGACATCTATACTAGACAGATGCATGAATTTCAAAAGATATTACCTGGTGGATTCTATGACACAATTTCCAAGAAAGTTCAAACCATGGCTGCCATGAAGAAGTCAATGTTGGGATACGAAAATCTATGAAAAGTTGATCTACTCCAGAGTAATAGGACTGCAGACAAGTTCAAGAGAGGTCAATATCAAGGACATTTGTCATAAGAGCTTTCACCAGTCCCAACAGCACTTTTTGATGATTCTGGAAACGAGCACTCCCATGTCAAAGACGGACTTATAGAATTTGACAAAAGTTGAGATGTCAGCCAGGCATGAGACACTGGAACAACCTTGTACAGTCATTGATGGTTGTGCTCTGCTGTGGATGAAAATCTGATGATTTTTGCTTGGTGTTTGACAGATCCGAGAGTATCTAGAGGTCATAACGGGTCGAGAGTCTTCCAACTGAGTCCCGCGTCACTGCTGCCCTCCAAGAAACTATCTCTTACTATTCGTCGTCGTCGTCGTTGTCATATAGATCATGGCTCACCATTGTGACCCGTTTGATGAGACCTTTTGATCGGCATCTGTCTCCTGCAATCCGGTAGAGTGTCTTTAGTATTTAGAGGGTGGCTAGTGATTTCCCGAAGGTCGTCAGTCCATCTGAGCTTGAGTCTTCCTTTGTTACGTGTTCCTTCAAAGGTACCTTGAATGATAATTTGTCAAGGTTGTCTCCTGATCTTCTGCTAACGTGACCAAACTATTGTAGCTTGTACCGTCAATCCTGGTAGCAAGTGGCGGTTGATCTCCGATGATGGACATTAATTGTGTCCATTGGTGTTGTAATCTCTTCATGATATCCCAAGTAGCTTCCTCCAACACCACATTTCAAAGGCAGATATTGCCGAGCTTCCACCCTCCTTGACAATCATTGACCCAAGAACATTATATAAACTTGTCCACTTGATCAACTTCTTCTCCATCAACCACCATGCTCTGTTGCATGTAGTTAATTTCCACCAATCATGATCTAGGTCTTTTTCCCATTGAGGTAGGGTCCAAATTATTCACTTGCATCCTTCACTCTTTTTTAAAGAGTTCTAGTAGTTCTTCTGATGTTCTTGTTATAAGTGTTGTCAGTGGCATACTGAGCAAAAACACTTAGAGGGGCAGAAAAACAATCTGCATTACCACCACTCATACATGTTACATGCAGGCCCCACAGAACTTTTTTAAAATCGGGTGGGAGGGGGGGGGGGGGTGAAGTATTTACGATCAGGAAGAGAGGAGCGCAAATTGGCGTGGTGTTCAAGGGGCACAGCCCCTGGAAGCTCAAGGGTTTCAGGCATTTATTAACTGTAAGATGAACATATTTTGATACCTCATTTCACCTCGGGTCACTTTCTTTCTTTCTTTCTAGTTCTCTTCAACATACTTTATACAAAAAGTGAGGGGGCTCGAGTCCCCTGAGCCCCGCTGTTCTGCGGACCCTGACATGTAGGCTTTTAAATAAGCATACTTTTTGCTTGACTGTGAATTTAGGATTTGTCATTTTCCAACATACGCTTAACAAATAATAATTTACTAAAAAGTGAGAAAAACCCCAGGAAAATCATGTCATTTCAGCAACATTTGTAAATCACTGGTATCGAATATATAGAAAAAAACAGTTTGAATTTTGTTTGGGGGTTTAACTGTCCCCAACCCCCCCCCCCCCAACCCTTCCCCATCAATACGCCAGAGAGTGTTGTATTGTCGGCGTATCTTAGGTTGGTGATCGTTCGTCCACCAACAGAAACTTGACCATAAAATGCCTTTCTCATAATGAATACAGCATAGATGGTGATAGGATGCAGCCTTGACGGACAACTTGACCAATAGTGAACCTTTCGGTGTAGCCATTCTCTGTTCTTACTGTTGCTTCTAGGTATTGGTAGAGCGACTGGATGAGTTGAATTATATATGCTGGAAAGCCCATCCAGCTCATAATCTTCCATAGGCGTTTATGTTGTACGCAGTCAAAAGCTTTGGAAAGATCAATAAAGCTAGGGAGAGAAGTTGTTGAAACGTGTCTCTAGTGTTGCTAACTTCACTATCTTTTCATGACAACAAACTACAGTTGATCGACATCGTAATTATATGCGCGAGTCTGCAGGATGATTGGGTGCTCAGAAATAGGCAAAAGCACAAGCAGGCCTTTACCGTCAAGATGAGGTTCCTGTTGAAGTGATTCCAGGCAGTGATGTCATGGCAAGGAAAGGTCTGTCCACAACATAGTTATGATGAAGCAGGCAACATCGAAGTACAGCAAGCGATTTGAATTGATGCTAATGAGAAGATGTATGTTAGGGTCCTAGTGGATGACACAGACGTCTACGTACTACTTTTGCACCGATCATTATCTACATGACGGACTTATAAAACGCCAATGACCATGGAGACGCCCCTTCACAAATTGAACTGTTATTGATGTTCCTGCTAATGTAGACAAGTTAGGAGATATCATTCCATCGATGTTGGCAGGACATGCGTTGACGGGATGCGACACTCTTGGGGCATACTTTGGCATTGGATAGGGTACAATGATGAAAGTGATGAAGCAGAAGATTCGACTCCCTTAGGACTCAGTTGGCAATGTTGATGCAGCATATGGTCATATGTCATCACTCAACCTACTCAATGCTTTGCTTCATGTTATGGACAGTCAACAACCAACTGAATGTCAGAGGCTCGTATCAACGTGTGGCTATCAAGGGTCCGAAGACTAGGAGCTCCAAATACCCCCAAACCTTGCCTCACTACCTCAAACTACCTCAAGCGTTTGTAGAAAATGTTATTAAAAGAGAGCTCATTTGCAAACATGCGTGTGGAAGCACGCATTACAGTCACGACCTCACTTTGCAGAATTAAGTGTTAAATGACACCCTCTTCCGCATGGAATATTTTAGGGCTCCCAACACTTTAGAGGGCTTTTAAACAAATTTCAAGATTTTGAAGCAAACTTATAAACGGATATAGTCCTGTATCGTATCGGTAGTTCGTAATTTGTAGGTTAATTTAAAGAATCTAGTACCTTAGAATACAAATCTAGTTTCTTAACGCTGTCACTGAAAATGGGCATTTATCACCATATGCCACCTCATATCTATGGGACAGAGAGCATAAAATTCAACCATGTTTTCTTCGAGTATAAAATTACAAAATAAAAATAAATGTGCAGCACAATTTTTACTCACTGTATCCAGTGCATCTGACTCATGACATATGATAATCTCATGTTAGAAATTGGTATTTGGCCATCATTTTGAACTATTCAAGTTAATGTGTCTATAGAGGGCGCCATTCCGAATTATGCAAATTTGCATATCATTTGTGATCATACAGCATCGCAATTTTTATTTAGTGATGATTCTAGAAAAAAATTAAGATATTTGACTGCCATTTAATGTAGTAAAATGCTGTTAAAACTTTTTATATCATTAATTTTGGTTAAAAAGGGGATTTTGGCGGCCATTTTGTAAGACGTCACATATCTCAAATTGCTCAATGCTGACAGAGTGTCAGCAGTCGAATTCTTCAAATTGATGGTCTAAGGAACTATAATCCGAAGAAAAAAAAACTATAGACCCTAAAACAAGGTATATCGAGATGGCTGCCGGACTAATAGTATTACACATTTTTATTCTATATGAACTACCTACCAACCCAACAAATATATCTCGCCATTCTAAATCTTTAATTTCATCTAACTCAAAAAGTTGTATTAAAGCCTGCCATAACCTTTGAACGCTCCCACAAGATAAAAATAAATGTTTGTATGTTTCTATTTCCTGCTTACAAAACGAACATAAATTATCACCAACAAAACCAAATCTATGAAGATGCTCATTAGTGTATATGGCTCCATGCAATAATTTAAATTGAAATTCACGTTGTTTTCTAATGAGTATAGTAATTCTTGGTCTAACAAATATTTCTTTTAATTCTTTATCTATAAAATCATAATCATTTTGCCCATCCCTTACCTGCAAATCATACGTTCGTTGCAGTGCTTTGATAAAATAATCATAGATTGTTCTTGAACCCACATCCACAAACTGTATTTTTTTACTAGAAATATGGAAATAAGTATTAAAGCTTATCAAATAAGTATTAAAGCTTATCAAATCAACCTCGAGGAATTCTATTAACCCTGAATCATCCTAAGATTTCGCTTAGCGTAATATCCAGTCTACAGGATCACACAGAACTCGCTCTCAACTATCAATCATCATCATGTCAGGTCGAGGAAAAGGAGGAAAGGGACTCGGAAAGGGTGGTGCCAAACGTCATCGCAAGGTTCTACGAGACAACATCCAAGGCATTACCAAGCCTGCAATCCGTCGACTTGCTAGAAGGGGAGGTGTCAAGAGGATCTCTGGTCTCATCTACGAAGAGACACGCGGTGTACTGAAGGTCTTCCTGGAGAATGTCATCCGTGATGCAGTCACCTACTGCGAGCACGCCAAGCGAAAGACTGTCACAGCCATGGACGTGGTGTATGCACTGAAGAGGCAGGGTCGTACATTGTACGGCTTCGGCGGCTAAGTGTAGCAGACCTCTCTCTCTCCTGGCTAGAATAACAAACGGCTCTTTTAGACAGTATCCAAAGAATAATTGCTTGACATACTCGTTTCGCTGCATCTTTACAGACCAGAAAACCTCAATTCATCATGGCTCCAACAGCTCAAGTTGCTAAGAAAGGCTCCAAGAAGGCAGTCAAGGCCCCTCGGCCCAGCGGTGGCAAGAAGAGGAACATGAAAAGGAAGGAGAGTTATGGAATCTACATCTACAAAGTCCTCAAGCAGGTTCATCCAGATACCGGCATCTCCAGTCGGGCCATGGTCATCATGAACAGCTTCGTCAACGACATCTTCGAGCGAATTGCCGGCGAATCTTCCCGCCTCGCTCAGTACAACAAAAAGTCAACCATCAGCAGTCGCGAGATTCAGACCGCCGTCCGCCTCATTCTCCCCGGAGAGCTGGCAAAGCACGCTGTGAGCGAGGGTACCAAGGCAGTGACGAAATACACTACCTCCAAGTAGACAGGTCATATCCTGCTCTAATTGGACATAATACACACACACACACACACACACACACACACACACACAACGTCCCCGTTGGCAAGTCGCTGTATCTTTGCGTGGGTGAATGGGACTTTGTTCCCCTTCGCCATTTGTTTTCTTTATGGACTCGAGAATCATTGCCATAATATCGCTCTGTATACTGTATATAGCTGTATATACAATAAAACGTTTCGTCTGTCAAGATTTCAGTCTGGCAAAGACAAGAGCACACCTATAAACATAACTTCTAACCCATGGCAGACAGTAGTACTGCCGGTTCAGGTATGTTGATTTATATTGATAAAAGCAAATAGCGAAAATTGGTAATTTCTAACCTTCGAATATTTGTATATTTATGTCGCTGAATATAGGACATTTCTTTTTAAAAAAATGGACTGTGGATCACGTATGGTTCGGGGTGCGTGTCACGCCGGGGAACTAACTAATGTCCTTTGGTAAGACATGAATGTACATTAGCCATACTCGACCCAGGTGAAGTAAATAGGTACTTTGCAGGTGTCAGTTCCTTGATATTCAAGAGCGCCATAATGGCGGGCATGCTAAGCCTAGGGTAATAATTGTGGAGCGCCAGGGGTGTCAAGTCTGACCCTCCTAAGCTCTCTAATAAGAAATACTATTTGTAATTCGTGTAATTTTTGTTATCATTATTATCATAGTTAATATTATAGTTTGTTAATAAATATTCTTATCATCATTATTATCATCATTGATATCATTAAACCAGGCAGGATGCTGTCTTTGACGGACATGAAACTGAACGAGATAGGGGAGGCTCTGGGTGACAATGAGAATCTCATGACTCTTGGACTACATCTAGGTTTCCCACAATCCAAGGTGAAAATGTTTCTTGCTACAAATCGAGCTGATGGCAATGTGTCCCCCAAAGGCACCAAGAATATGCTTTTTGCATGGAGGAACAAGACTTCCAGCGCAAACCAGGTGAAGAACCTTCGTGAGGCCTTGGTGAAAGCCGATTTGAAGCTCGTTGCCGACGAGCACCTTAGGGATCTCCAGTGAAATCCTTCAATTTCCAGATCGATTCAGGTTCAGAATCCAGGGTGCAGGTCCAGGATCTCCGTGCTGCCATGGTATACGTTGATTCGGGCAGTATTACTGAAGAACACCAATATGGATTTCAGTTAGTTAATACCAGAACAACTTTGTTAGCTGCCTGCAAGAACAATGAACATGATGGAGATGGTTGTTACAGTCATTATCGATAAATGGATATTAAGGCATTCTTGCGGGCATGCAGCCGACGAATCGATGTCATTTGAGAGATTTTTACTTCTAACTTTTAACTTTGGCACGTGTTGTGTCTAGTTTCATGTCAGATATATCGTGGCATCATTGCGGGGCATAGACGATTACATTATTTGAAATGACGAGGTTTTAAAGTTTTTTTGAATGGCGGTTTTCCATTGCTCCTGATGTCATAATTTTATTATGCCATTTGAGAAGAATTTAAGAACATAATGCCATCTTTTAAATAAGCTTTTTTTTCTTTCTTCATTTTTATCTCTAATAGCAGTGATGATAATTAAAGGACGACTTTATGCGTTTAGGTCTATGTCATAAAAGGGTCGAATAAATTAATTTTGTGGGGGCCAGCCAGCCCCTGAATATTGGCAAAGTTAAACATCTAAGTGACATTTAACTTTTTCTTGTCGAGCTCAGCTCAGAGTTTTCACCATTTTCGCTCCTTTTTTTTCCCAAAATCTGCCACATTGTCATTATAAAAAAAAAATTAAACAATAATGTTTCAAAATATTTGTATATATATAGATGTCTTGGTGACAAATACATTAAATTCATTTGATGACTAATCACCAGTGCGAGGTGATTGTTGATAAGGAAAATAAAATTGCAACTCATGTGTTTGTTTATAATTTACTTGTTATTAAAGGTAATACAAAGTTTTGGTATGGGGTCATGAATTTGGTTCAAATGAACATATTGGAAGCATATGCGATCCTACAATATTCAGTGATCGTTGTCCCGGTTGAAATCGAGTCTAAAGTTATGAAATTGTAAATAATAATCTCTTTTTGTTGTATAGCTCCCTCTCAAGGTCAATATATTAATTTAGCTATAAAACAATGTTTATTGACTAAAATCGACTGATTGGCTATTCCCATTTGGAAATCATATATCACAACTGCATATTCTGATATTTTCAAGGTCGCAACTACCATAGTACGGCCGTAGGCGCTATTTGAAATGTTTATATTCAATTTTTCTCAAAAGCAGAAGTGTTTTCGGGGCTAAATTTCCTAGTGTTTATATTATCCAAATATATCAAAATTGTAAAGAATCACTATCCACCCAATTTTCAAAATTTCCCAAAACTTTGTTTTACCTTTAAGTAGTGGTAAGTTATGGTATTTATTTTCCAGTTGAGAATATATTCAGCTGTATGTCTTTTTTTAATGTAATAAACACTGCACAGAAACTTAACTTGCTTTCTTCGCATTTCTTCGCGGACGTTGGTTTGTCTCACGTACAATTTCCCACAAAACAATAGACACCAATTGACGCAATACCTATTTTACGTCTTGATTAGCTCCATGTCAACACTTTTAACACCAGTATAGATTAATATTGCAAGGGAAACAGTTATATCATCTAGAAGCCTCGAGTATTTCTATCCAATGATAAATACAATTCCCAAGAGACTGCATTCTTCAAAATACAAGTCGTCTTCATTCACATGCTACTTATTAAAATGGAAAATGTTTGCATAAGAATAGTTAATTGGACTTGACATGCGTTAGTTGAGTAACTGCGGTAATGAACTGAAGTTGATCATATTTACAAAAATTATTTTATTAAACGATCTATCCCTTCTTGATGAGTCGATCTGTGTATGCACCTATAATACTTAACCTGACTACTTCGTATGCTTTCTACAAGATCAACAAGCCAACATATAAAAAAGATAACACACATACACACACACACACACACGCACACACAGGGGGAAAATACATAGGGAAAGATGGAAAACTATCGGTCTATGTGGCTGTTGCCATTTAACTAGAGTGCACATACGTGTGACGTGAGTTTACGAACTTAGGGTAGATTAATAGGTTTCTACTTTTCAACATATTCTACAAACTTGAAGTAAAAGTAATTTTGGAAGTTTATAGGAATATTAGCAACCGCGCACATTATGATTCAAAATGTTAAGATTCAGAAACTGAATTAGATAGACTTTATTTTTTTAATTAAATGTTATGTTCTAGATTGTTTGCCTGAGGCTAATAAACTAGGACTTTTGGATTTGTAAACAAAAGATGCTTATGAATACTTCATTTTGGTTCGATACTTCGGATATATCTATAAGAATAATCACTCTGCAATATGTACTTTGAAATTATAATAATAGATTAACTGATAACCTATTAACAAGTGCATTGCATACCTAGTCAAATATGGACACTGTTAATATTTATCACCAAAAAAACAAGTATACGGTATTCTGATTAATGATATGCATTTACAAGGAAAATAGTGATAAGGCCTCGAGAGGCCCGTTGTCAAAAGAATATATTGGACTCTGGTCCATCTTTTGTCTGCTGTCATATTTCGTTTGCAATGAATTATGTCATCAGACAACAATCAGTCGTTGATGTACCAACACACAGAGAAGCAGACTTCTTTCCCAGTAATTATAAATCGCAACTGGGCCTTTGAAATAAGTCGAAACGGCTGTTCAGGTAGGTAACTTCTCATTTTCATTCTCTTTGCCCCTTCCCCTCTTCCTCTCCCATATCTTTTTCAAAACCATCTTGAGATATATTCTATTTCGTTTTATTCTCCTCTACCCGGCGGTGTTAACTAGTTGGGTATATATAGATGTATATATACATATAGCAAAGGCTTAACATACACATATAATATTTTTGTGTGCGTGGGCGTGTGTGTGTTCATAATGATTTATTCACGTATTGAGGGGTTTTAGAGCGAGAGGGAGTTTGAGGTATTCTATATTACAATGTTACCATTCTGTCCTTATTAGTCATATTATTTGAAATGTATGAGCTTGTTTTTGTATGATGTATAAATTAAAATGGAATTTTGATTTCAATGAATTTGTTGAATAGAAGAAAAACAAATAATATTTTTTTTTTGTTAAATGAGATTTGTCGAAAGTATACAGATCACACTTTGAAGATAAACATTTTATGCCAATTCATTACCAAGTTTTCACGGGTCTCCTTATATACAAGTATACAGTGTCCCCCCCCCCCCCCCCCCCCCCGAAAAAAAGAAGTCCGGACATAAATTATTATTGTGAGCATAGTATGTTTTTTATAAATATGATTCTTGCTTTTCATACGGTAGAGTCTCTCGAATTCCTTCGTAGAATACTATAGAGGGCCTCCTAATTGTTGGAACAGGCACGTCTGGGCTTTTACTCAATCAGGTGAGTTGATCAAACTTGAACAACTTTTACGTTTTAATATTGTTATGCTAAATATTTGTTGTGTATATGTGCATTGTGTCAGAACGCTTGCAGTCATTATTTTGATGTATCATGTGGGTTGATATGATTATATCGAAAGCGAGGATTTAATGTTGAAATGTGTGATGCTTAGTGATATGATTCGTTAATATATATGCGTTTACATTGTATTACATGGTCATGTACACCGAGTTGAATGTGGTATCGCTAATGTTGTACCTGGTCCCCGGGCCAAGGTTAGGGCCTACGCTCTAATTTATGTGATGAGTATAGGTCTTGGTTCAGGAACGAGGTCAATGCGAAATATGGGGAGCATAGAAAAGAAGTGCTTATGATAGAAGATGGGTATTTAAAATCATTGCATATTGTTTGTATTGTTGTTGCTATAATGAGGGTATATTAATTATGGCACATCAAACAGTGATTATCAAACGGCTTTGTCTGACTATCTATTCAGCCATTAGGTAATTTTCTAGCGCCTTTTATAAAACATTATTGCTCATATTGTAGATTGCTATGAAGAGAAAATTGATATATTTTAAATTTATATGGAATAATAGGAGTAAGAGCAGTGTTTAAGGTTATACTAGGAGATTATAGGAGTTTGTTTAGAAGTTGCAAAAGTATGGAAGATAAATACACGGACTGGAGTAATTGATGAAAGTTAGCTTTGATGTAGATGTGAGGAGATTTATTGTTTCCAGGATTTATCAATGTTTCTGGTCTTGGGATATCTGATATTTAAAAGCAGAGATGTTTTATCTTTGTTCCAATGTTATGATATTGTTAGTTTCATTATTCATTATAAAATATGTGCTTCATTTGAAAATGGGGAACCAGGATAGCCCTAATTCAGTTTATGTTGTTAGGATATTTGCATTGTTTTGATATTACACTGTACAAGTTAGAGGTATATTTTATTGAACAAGAATTAAGGATAAGATGACTTATATCATTTATTCAGTAGTGATATATATATACTCTATATATAGAGGTCACATGATAAGGTTATTAAACCTAGCTTGGTGTGTTGGTTTATCCAAATTTGTGAATTTAATGCTTTACAGGAGTTATATATTGAATGTTGCTCATTTGTCTAAGAATTTGGGTCAGGTATTTATCTGTGTTAATGTTAAGAGTTTCAGCTACTGTGGCAATTGGTTTTGAAAGGGCAAATTTACTCGTTTTATATTTGATAAAATGACATGTTTTGGGGAATGCATGATCTCCATGATAATCAATATTATTATGTGATATGTAATGTGTCAGTTACTGATTACTACTTATAAAGACCTCTGTGCTTTTACTCATACAGATACTGAGACCCGTTCCCCACTCGGCTTTGTGTTCTTGGTCTCTACAATACAGTAGAGGTAATATGCTTTCAAATGATATTCTGATATCAATAATCCATTTAATGTTCATAACATTTGCAGACCCTTTTATATGAAAAAGATCTGTTCTATTTACCCTCACCATCGAAAATGATAATAATAATACAAAATAATGATAAAACCGTTGTTAACACAAAGAAGTGAAATAAATAGAAAAGCTGCAGAATAATGTCTGCAGCTAAAAAAGTAGACATACTCATTGATCAATTAAATATGCATTTTAACAGCATTTTTGAAATATTAAAGCGTCTTAAAATATATATATATATCCTCTACTTTATAATGATCTCATTACTTTTGACCTATACAAAAAGGAATCTTCTCAATGTTTGTGTTTTCTTCAGTTCATGTTCTACTCTGATGCACTTACCATGCCAATGTTAGTGTCACTGTTTTATCAAATTCTGGCACGAGTGGATTTTGGCTTTCCATTTTTCTAAATGATGTTGGTCTTCGAAGGCGTATTTGGATAAATGCAAAGTATGTATCATTTGAAAAAAATATAAATTTGACCTTATATAAGGGATGGAATTATATGTATACACCCATTAATTTGTTCACTAGAACGGATTGTTTTAGTGTATTTTGTTATATTTTTAAATGGGACACACTATGTACATATCACCTACATAACATCTAGATTACCTTCAAATTACAAACTATTTATTTTTCATATCTTGCAGCTATTCCTCACTGAAATCAACAAACATCTGGTGGTTCATACAAAATAGAAAAAAATGAGGTACGTCAATGTAATATTAACGATTTAATTGAAGGTGTTTCTGTTATCAATATTAAGGTTATTATTATTATTATTATTATTAATATCATTAGTGTTAGTATTATTGATATTATTATTAATAAAAATGCCAAGTACCCATTTTTATAACAGGTGGTCTGGGTGAAGAAAGGCAAATGTGGATCAATATCTTGCCGAAGAACGTTAGTGCCGGGTTGCTATTCGGACCCCCAACCTTTGGATTGAGACCCTTCCCATACTTCTTTCATCCCGTATTTTATTTTCTGGAAATTGTACAAACCATGTTTCAAATCACCTCAACGATGAGAAGTCCTTTTTTAAAACAAATTCATGGGTGCCTAGATCAAGAACTTCTTTTTTCTACCACTGATGGTAACTTTGCTATCAATATTAACTACGCTAGTAAAATCACTCAGAAGCCAATTAAATCAGAGTTTCCATGAAAGTTACATAAATTACAAATTTACCATCAATGGTGAGTTTCATGCAACGGGGCCCCCATTCATAAAATACTGAATATTCATTTGAAAGGAGCCTTTTATAATATATTCTCTCTTTTTTTTTCTTCTCATTTTTAATATGTTTTATGTCTTTGTTTAATTTTCTTGCATGTATATAAATTGATCTCTCTATTTTCTCTCTCTCTCTTTCTCTCTATCATTCTATCTCTGTTTCTCTCACCCCCTTTGTGTCTCCGTTGCTCTCTAATTTCGCTCTTCCTCTATATTTCCCTTTATCTCATCCCTATCCTAACTCTCTTTCTCCCTCTATCTCTAAATTTCTCTCTTTCATCGTTCGTTCCCTGTTTCTCGCACTCCCTTTGCTCTCCGTTGCTCTTTACGTTCTATCTCTCTCTCTCTCTCTCTCTCTCTCTCTCTCTCTCTCTCTTTCTCTCTCTCTCTCTCTCTCTCTCTCTCTCTCCTCCTCCCCCTCTCTCCTCCTCCTACACCTTCTCCTCCTCCTTCAGTGCCAATATCCCAGTTTCCGAGGTCCAGTTACAAAAGCTTGCAGCTGAATTTCCCCATGACAAGTATGGCCCACTGTGCTTGGCGCTTGGGGGCACTTCAAACCAGGCCCAGAACAGATTGGTCAAACTCAATAACGATTACCCCAAGGCAGTCATGGAGGTCCTCATTGCGTGGAAGAATCGTACAGGAGGTTATATGACTGAATTAACCAAGGCTCTTAAAGAGATTGAAGCTGGCGGACTTATACCTATTCTAAAACAGCTTTAATTTTCCACAAAGTGTCTACATCCAAAAGATTCCCCAGCATTCGAAATTAAAACATTGGGGAAAAAATAATGTCCACTTTGCTTTTACATTCTTTTACTTACCCAAGCCATTGTCGCAATTTTAATCAGCTCTTGCGAAAATGGCTCCTACACTAACCGTATTAACTTGAACCCTGTGCTGTTGTATCTCACACTAACCTAACCCTGAACCTCAAAATAAAACTAAAATTAAACCCAAATCTAAACCTTAACCTAAACCTAAGACCGAATTGCAATCTTAAACCAGACCCATTGCATTTTCAGCAATAAATCCAAGAGTGATTGAGGCACACTCACACAAATACACACGCAATAACACACGAGATACCACACAAAAAACTTTGTGTGTCACCTCCTGTAGCGTGCGAACATTATTGCATACTTTAAACCTGATTTCTTTACAATGAGGTAGTAAAATTGCCCTCAGGTGTGAATGTATGATTTCTTACACAACAAAATCGATCGTGATATTGCTAAATTTTCGGTTCCTTTCATTAACATAAAAATAGATTTTGGTCTGGAACACTTTTTATCACATTCCCTTACCTCCTTTGTACTGTTATTTACTGTACTCTTAAACCTTCCACAACTCCTTGTTTTGAGTTTATGTTCTATGAACAACAAACGTTAAGTAGACATTTATCTGTTGATTTGAGCTCGACATTACGATTTTTTCCTTCGTTCTAATGCCTTAATGATACCAGCTATAATTCCAACAATGAGTTCATTCGTTTTTAATACCGTTTTTTACTTTGTTTAAGATATTTAGTCCGTTAATTATTCTGTTGTAGTGGTGTATACAATATACTTTATCTTGAGAAATCAGTGGGCTCGATAACATCTGTAAAAGTGGAAATTATTAAGTCCGTCTAAATAGAAGTATAATGACAAAAATATCCATGATGAATGACGTAAGAGAAATAAATGCATTAAATTGAATAATTTAAGTACTTTAATTGCAATGCATTTGTACGGGAATGTGAAAATGTAACATTACATGGCGCTGTTTATAACTACAAGATATTTAATGTATTGTGTGTCCAAATTATTCTGGTTGATCTAGCGATCAAGTTTTGTAATGAACTGTATACATGAATCTACGAACTCGTACCTTGCTATGATACCATATTTCATGCATGGTTATTATTCTTTATTGGCAGTTATACAATGTTAATGAAATGCTAGACAAACAAAGAAGATGACAAGCAAAGCAAATAACCACTTTAACATTGCTGAATAAAGTGCGAACAGTTTATGTGTGACATGCTTGTGAAGGCAAAGTCCAAATGTGTTATTGACTGACTAAATGTAAAGGTTTGTAACCATGGTAATAGTTGAATAAAAGATATGATGATAATAAAAGTACATATGAACAGTGCAATATTTTCACATTTGATATTTTAAATGAAATGACCTGTAGTATAGTCCAAATTTATCATTAGCGGTTCAGTCACTAAGGAAGTTAACAGTGGTGACCCATTAAATACCCCCTCCCTCCTCCAGTGAGATAGAGAGAGAGGAAGAGAGAGAGAGAGAGAGCGAGAGAGAGAGAGAGAAAGAAAGAGAGAGAAGGGAGAGAAAGAAAGAGAGAGAGAGATAGATAGATAGAGATAGAGAGAGAGAGAGAGAGAGAGAGAGAGAGGGGGGGGACAGTTGCACAATTCGTCCCTATTTTCACGAAGTGACGGTAGTGAATGAAAATCGCAAACAATTTGCGTGCGGATTTTCCTCACTACCGTCACTTCGTGAAAATAGGAACGAATTGCCTCTTTGCCAGCGCTCAAAATACACGGGGGCGATGGGCGATTCGCCCCCGTGAGCTCCATAATCGCCCCTGTCAGGTTGCTCACGGGGGCGATTGAAAAATTAAAAATCGCCCCCGTGGAATTATAAAATAAAGATTGTCTTTTCTGATATAACTTTAACACAATATTGAGTATCAATTTTCAAACCTTAAACCAATGAAATGGAACTTATACCCCATTCACAGTGGCCTCAAACACCGCGACAGCAGCGGGACTGTCCCGCTGCTGTCGCGGTGTTGTCTTCAGTGTGAAGGCTCGGACCCGTTATAAACTATCGCGGGATAACACCGCCTAGCGATAACGCCGACACAAACTATCGCTAGGGACGCCTAGCTACAGCAGCGGGACAGTCCCGCTGCTGTCGCGGTGTTTACTCAGTGTGAAGGCTCTCCGCTATAACACCGCGACAAACACGTGTGATTTGTTTACTTACCTATCACTGACCTCTTTTCTACAGCAATGGGGAACATAAAGTGAAATAGAAATAAAGTAACCAGTGGATTCAAATTGATTTTATTATTATGTAGGTATTATAATTATCCAAATGAAAAATATTTCACACTTCAAAAAATTAAAATATTCTGACTGGAAGCAATAAAAATGCTAGTTTTTTAAAAAGTAATATGATCGAGGATACAAAAAGCAACTTGACATGTTTACCGCGCAATTTCAAGCAAGTATTTCCGGTCATATCGGGGTCACTCGCGGGTCATGAGCCATGCATACACGTGTTTGTTACGGAGGTAATAAAAATCACCCGCTGCAGCGTGAATGGGTACATGATATTTATCCCGCTGCTGCAGCGGGATAACTTTTCTACTGTGAATGCATTTGTAGCGGTGTTATGGCGGTGTCGCCGCTCCGCTACAACGCCGCTACAAATTTCAAAACCACTGTGAATGGGGTATTAGATGGCGCTTTCTCTCCCATCTCTATGAGTATTACCGATACAAACAACGGAAGCTCGCAGTGCAGCTAGTGCGGCCCTCAGCACTGGCTATACTGCTCCGGTAGTACCGGTGTGCACGCTGACGCCCAATATCTGCTGGAGCTGGAGACGATCGCGCAAGGACTGAAACATGGAGAAGTTTTTCGTTGTGAAAAGTGTGAATCCTCTGAAATCTGGTTATTCTAAAAGGCCAGCAAATAATGTAACTCGACCAGTAAATCAATATTGAGAAGAAGATCACCAAAGATGTTGCAGGGGCGGATCTAGGCGGTTTAGGGGGTTTAACCCCCCCCCCCCCTCCCCCCCCCCCCCCCTTTGGCTGCCAAGTGAAAATGTGATGTGCATAGAAAATGCTATCATGTGTTCAGACCTACACAGTATTAGTAGATGTTAGTAGATGCCAGGAAAACATCTTTTACGGGGGTTCAAAATAGCAACAACGAAAATCGCCTCGCCACTACGCGGCTCGTGGACGATGCTCCACATCGTATTTGGGTTACCCCCTCCCCCCGCCCCCCTCCCTTAGCAAAAAGTTAGATCCGCCTCTGTGTTTTGGAAGGATATGGTAAAGACTAAAAGTAAAGAAAGAATGTAAATAATTAATAAGTAAATTCTAAGAGGGAAATTGTCGACTTAAATAAATGATAATGATAAAATACCAAAGAATTTAGGAGTTTCATGGGTACCAATTCAATGGAAATTTGTATTAAAATAAGAGCCCCCATCAGCACTAAAAGAACCCCCGTGAGAAGGCTCACGGGGTCTCTCTTTTTTTTGGAAGAGCCCCCGTGGACAAAAAATTAATTTGAGCCCTGGTAGTGACGATAATAATGGTAGCATTATTTATTTTGAACTATCATCAACAATAATATGATAATGATTATGATAATGATAATGGTAATGGTGACGATACGGATAAGCCGTAGACGAAAGACTTCATGCATGGCTGATTGTCAACGAAACGAAGTTAAGTCTGTTGTCAATTCTGCTTTTGCTACGGCAGGCAGCCAGTGAAAACGAATTTGTTTGCTAAAACTATGAAAATGTAATGCTAGGAGTCCACTGGGCCAGCGCCAGTTGGTGCCAGTTCGCGCCAAAGATTATGTGATTGGCGCGTAGTGGCTCGCTGTGGCGCCGAATTAATGTCCGCTCGGCATGTGTCGCCAAGTGGAATAAACTGGGTGCCATATGGCGTGCGCCAAATGCCACCCGGCTTGCTCCAAAATGTTGCGCCAGTTTGCGCCAGTTCGCGCCATTACACGGCCATTTGATTCCAAAATTAACCCTGTTGGCGCCATTCGCGCCAATAGACGGCTACTTTGCGCCACTTGGTGATTAGTTTGCGCCAAAGGTCGCCAAATTGGTTTGAACTTGCCACCGCTTGACGCTACTTGCCGACTATATAAATACCGGCCATCGGCTACCTGGTTCAGACCCTCCTCAGCTGCTGTATGCAAGGGCGTCGCCAGAGGGTGGGTGTGGGGGGTGCGACACCCCTCCACCTGTCAGGATATTGTCGGTAAAATTGCGCTGCCGTCGGGAAAAAAGAGAAAAGGGGGAGGGAAAAAAGAGAGGGAAAGGGAAAGAAAAGAAAAAAGAAAAGGAAAAGAAAAGAAAGAAAGGAAAAGAAAGGAAAGAAAAGAGAAAGGAAAGAAAGAGAAAAAAGAAAAAGAGGGAGAAGAGGAAAGAAAGGAAAAGAAAAAAAAGGAATAAAAGGGAAAAAAAAGGGAAAAAGGGAGAAAAGGGAAACAAAAGAAACGGGGGGTGAAGAAAGGAGAGAGGGGGAGGTAAGAGCCTGAGAAAGGGGGAGGTAAGAGCCTGAGAAAGGAGGAGTGGGAGTAAAAGAAGGGGGGAGTTGTGGGTGGAGTCGTCTCGTCAAGGAAGCAAGAAAGACATGGGTAAATATATTGTTGTGTCGGGTCAGATGTGTCGGTATTCTTGCTCGATCCTCGTGTACTATATCAATGCAAAAATTTGAAGTCGGTGAGATGTATATTTTCGGTCGGCCGAAAAGTTTTTTTCCCTACGAACTGTGACTTTGTATCCGCTGTGAAGACTTCGAGAGTGACTACAACTACAATACTTGTATTTTCTGGAAGTTTCACTTTCCTATAATATCAGGTAAAGAAATCAGAGGTTTAAAATTTTCGGGGAAACTAATTCAAGCAAGGATTAAGAGTCAACAACGGTACGACGAATCGTCTCCCTTTCTCTATATTTTGATGAAACGCCAAAATTTTCGCGCTTTGCGCGGATGGGGAAAACTTCATTTAGACGAGTCGAGAACGGTACAAAGAATAGTCTTCTTTCTCTAATAGTTTGAAGAGACGTCCAAGCTTCCGCGATACGCGCAGAGGGGGAAAACCCGAATTCAGATAAGGATTAAGAGTCGAGAACATTGCAACGAATCGTTTTCCTTTCTCTATTTTGATGAAACGCAAAAATGTTCGCGCTTCGCGCGGGAGAGGAAAACTTCATTTAGACGAGTCGAGAACGGTTCACAAATCGTCTTCCTTCATTATTTATTGTTCCTCCCACCTCAACAAAAACATACGGTGAACGTTCTTTTATGCACGCCTCCTCAGTCTTATGGAATTCACTTCCAGATTCCATGAGAAATCACAATAATTTGAACAAGTTTAAGGTTTCTCTTAAAACGTATTTATTCAATGTTAAAATTGTACACTCATGAACTCAGCGTCCAACACTACATGTACTTCTTTGTTTCTAAGTGGATTTTCTAATGTGTATGACTTTTTCTTGTAATTCTTTCCTTTCTATTTGAAGCGCATAGGGACATGCTATCCTGTAATGTGTTATGCGCTATAAAAGAACTGAGTATTATTATTATTATAATTTAAGGAAGCATCAAAGCTTCTGCGCTTCGCACAAGAGGGGGAAACTGAATTAAGATGAATAGAGCTTAATAAGAGTCG